GGTGATAATGATGTTGATCATGATGATCATGATGATCATGATGCTGATACTGACGATGAAGCTCCGATCATGACGATGCGGGTGATTTTGCTGATGATGATAGTGATGATGATGATGATGATGATGATGATGATGATGATGATCATGCTGAGGATTATAAGGATGAAGATGGTGCTGATGATGATGATGATGACGAGGATGTTGATGCTGATGGTGATGACGATGAGGATCATGATGATGCCGGTGGTGATGATGATGCTGATGATGCAGATGCTTATGATGATGACGATTCTGCTGAGGATGTGGATGATAGTATATCGATGATGATGGCGACGGTGATGAACATGTTGCTGATTACGAGGATGATGATGATGATGGTGGTGGTGATGATAACGATGTTGATGACTGATAAATGATGATATCACGGTGATCGTGATGGCGGTGCTGATGATGTTGATGATGCTGATGATGAGGATGGTGATGCTGACGATGATGATGATGATGATGATGATGATGATGATGATGATGATGATGATACTGATGATGCTGATGATGATGACGACGAAGGTGATGATGACGATGATGATGCTGATGAACGCTGACGATGATGATGATGAAGATGCTGAAGCTGACGACTGTGATGATGATGATGCTGATGATAATGATTATGATGATGATGGGGATGACGATGGTGATACGTCGATGATGCTGACGGTGATGATGGTGATCATGTGAATGATGTAGATGCGGATAGTGATGATTCAAAGATGATTGTGATGTCGGTTCTGCTGCTGATGAAGACCATGATGATGATGTCGATGATGATGATGCGGATGATGATTGTGATGATGATGTTGATGACCATGGTACATCCATGATGTTGACGGTAATGGTCATGATGACGATAATAGTGATTGCGATTCTGATGATGAGGATGTAGTCGATGATGACGATGATGATGATGGTGATGCTGATGCTGATGCTGATGCTGATGATGATGATGATGATAATGATGATGATGATGATTGTGATGGGGCTGGTGGTGGTGGCCATCACGATGGGATACCGATGATGATGACGGTAATGATGATCATGATAATGATGATTGGTGATGGCAATGATGTTAGTGAAGAACAAGGAACATGAGGATAATCATAATGATGATAGTTACTGATGCTGATTATGATGGTTCTGATCGTGGTGGTGGTGATGGTGGTGATGACTCTGCCGACGATGATGATGCTGATGATGATGATGATGATGATGATTGTGGTGGTGGTGGGGGTGATGACGATGGAATACCGATAATGATGATGATGATGATGCTGATAATGAGGAAAACATTATGATGATCATGATGATGATGATGATGATGATGATGATAATGATGCTGATGATGATGATGATGATGCTGATGATGATGATGATGCTGATGATGACGATGCTGATGATGCTGATGATGAGGATGATCATGCTGACGATGGGGATGACGGAGGAGGATTAGGAACCAGGAAAGAAGTGAGGATCGCGATAACAGCTACGATGGTGGTGGTGATGGTGGTGGTGGTGGTGAGGTTGTCGAGGAGTTGGAGGAGTAGATTGATGATGGTGGCTGATGACTGATGACTATGATGATGATGCTGCTGATGATGATGCTGCTGTTGCTGCTGCTGATGATGATGATGATGATGATGATGATGATGATGATGATGATGATGATGATGATGAGAGGAGGGAGGAGAAGGAGGAGGAGGAGGTGGAGGAGGAGGAGCAGGAGGAGGAGGAGGAGGAGGAGGAGGTGGAAGAGACCCCTCTCCGCAAAGGCGGCGCGCCAAATCTTTCTGGCGGCCAGGCGTGCCCGGGACCTGCCCGCGCCTGCCCGCCACCAGCAGCGGGGAGCGTCCCGGCAGGGAGGATTACAAGCGACTGACGCATCGAGGCAGAACAATCGAGCATCGAGGATTGGGGATCGATCGAGGGTTGAAACCTTTTCGGCGTCTGGGGGCCGTTTTCGGTCCCAGGGGCCGTCAACTATCGATTCGGGATGAAGATGGATCCGGACGGACCCCAAGAGCTTCCTCTGGCTAGGGCATTGCTGGGCCAAAAGACCGCCCCCCCCAGGTTGTCCAGCGGTGGCCATGGGTGTCCCGCGGGTTTCCCGCTGATGTCCCGTCGGTATCCCGTAGTAGTGAGAACGATAGTGAGATCGATAGTGATATCGATAGTGGGATTGATAGTGGGACCGATAGTGATATCGATACTGAGGTCGACAGTGAGACCGATAGTGAGATCGATAGTGGGATCGAGCGCGAGATCGATAGTGAGATCGATGGTGAGACCGAATGTGATGTCGATAGTATGATCGATCGTGATATTGATCGTGTGAGATTAAGAATGTGATCGATAGTGCGATTGATAACGAGATTGGTCGTGATATCCGTAGTGAGATCGACAGTATGATCAATAGTGAGATCGATAGTGGTACCGATAGTGATATCGATAGTGAGATCGATCGTGAGATCGATGGTGACATCGATAATGATAATGATAATGAGATCGATTGAGTGAGACGTTGGTTCCGCCCCCCGAACCCTCCTCATCACCCCGAGGGTGGTCGTGCAAGTAAGGATTTCGTCTTCCCGCCTCTGCATCTTCTTGGGCGGGCTGGGACCACGCTTAGCCTCCGACGCCGTACTCGCACCTGACTTTACAGAAGGTGGTGGGAAGGCTCCCTCCTGTAGCTTCTTCGTGGTGGGGAACCAGCTCGGCGGGAAGACTTGGTACTCATCATGTAGTGGAAGGCATGCCCCATGCTGTCCGCAGTGACAGACATGTTTGTACTAGGATTTTGTTCTGGTGGAGCCATCGGCCGCGTCGGTGATCTTCGAAAGGCTGCTGGGCAGGACGGTAACTCCGCGATCCCCGTGGGCGTGGGGGGAGACGTGGGCGCCGATCCAGGCGTGGGCTCTCCCGTGACCTGGGTGCTGGCGGTAGCAGTGGCTGTCGGGACTGGTGTTTCTTCTTCCCTCCTGAGGAGGCTGCTGTCTTCGGGGTGCTCTCTCGCTTCGGGAGGGCTGTCCCGCGGCGGGGCTGCGGCCGTGCGAGCGCCGTGCCACTCCCAGCTTTTCTCTTGGGGGGGGGTCCGGTCCCTTCGACGCGCGCTCGCCTGGGCCTCCTCACTCCCTCCTCCCAGCCCCGCTTTCCATAGTAAACCCCACAGGCAGATCCACGTTTTTTTTTTCCCCTTGCCCTTACCCTTCGCCATCATCATCTGGTATTGCTGCATCGCTGCTGCCATCAAAGCGGCTGACGTGGCTACCACTGGCGCTGGAATCGAAGGCGGCGAGGTAGGGGTAGCAACCGCTGGCGCCACAGCAGCTGGTTCCGAAGGCGGTGGGGCCCTCGCTGTAGGCAACATCGCAGGCGTGTGCGGGCTCATCATTGTAGGAGCGAAGGGGGATGGACCAACCAGGTGCGACGAACCAAATGCTGCGGGACCAGTATGACGGACAAACGGCGTCCCCGCAGGAGCTGAAGGCTGTGTTCTTGGGAATGGCGGCGGTGGTGCTGGCATGGTACCTGGCATCGTCCCGTGGGCAACGGTGGAGGCCATCATTTGTTGCATGACATTCCCCTTCGCCTGCTGCCGACCCACCATGGTTTCCATTGCATGCCGTAATCCATCCATCTGGTCGCACGAATTGCGCGCCCATGCATGACGCACCTTGGCTGCCAGAGTCTGCTGCCTCTCGATGGCCTTGCCTGGCCTCTGCCTCGTTTCGGTGATGCGCCCCCAGAAAGGCTGTAGCAGCAGCGGCGCGTACTTGTCCAGGGATATCTGTGCCAAGGAGGTCTCGTCCGTTTGCCTGTGCGCAGAGACAACCATGTGAACCATCTCGTACAGCCGTTGCCAAGCTTTTTCCCTGAACTCTTTATGGACTGACGGGTGTGTCGGAGGCGGAGTCCATCCTGGCGTGGCCTTGCTTTTTGTGGGCACGCTGGAGCTGCATTGCCAACCAATTTGCGCTTGTCCTGGTCTCGCACCTGCTCAGACATCATGTCCGCTGCTAGCACTGAGGAGGTCCGGATCCTTTCCTGCTTCTGCTTGGCCGCCTGGCCCTGTGAAGATTGTCTTTGGTATGCAGAATGCGCCACGATCTGCCACACGCGCGCCATATTACGCGCGAAGGGACATACTTGCCGCAAGTACAGAGCCATTTCTCATTCAGGTTCAAGCCGCGAAGATCCTGGCTCCTGCTGGCCGCTCCCAGCAGCTTGATCAGATGCTTTGTTTTTGAGCGCTGGGACCGGATCGGGTTCTGCGGTGCCGAGCAGGACCCCACTCGCGAGGAATCGCGGCGGCGCGGTCGAAGACGACCGCTGGGGTTGGCCGTGCGGGCGCGGGCGCTGCTGAACACCCACGTCCGAATTCCCTCGGCCAACTGCCTCTCTCCCCTCCTTTTCCTCTTCCTCCCCCCCAGGACTCGGACGAGGCTGGCGACGATCTCCCGTTGATGGCGGAGGTGGATGGGGAGTGATGCGCACGATTGTGTTGGTGGCGACGGTGGCAACGACGACGAGTACTATTATTCCACTACAGCTACTACTACTACTTCTGATAGTACTACAACTACAACTACCACCACCACCATCACTACTAGTACTACTACTACCACTACTACTACTACTACTACTACTACTACTACTACTACTACTACTACTACTACTACTATTACTACTACTACTACTACTACGACTACTACTACTACTACTATTACTACTACTACTACTACTACTACTACTACTACTACTACTACTACTACTACTAGCTACGACTTCTACTACTACTACTACTACTACTACTACTACTACTACTACTACTACTTCTACTACTACTACTACTACTACCACTATTGGTGTTACTACTACTACTGCTACTACTACTACTACTACTACTACTACCACTACCACAATTCTTATTACTACGACGACGGCTACTATTATTGTGCTTGGCATGATATACTACTACTCTTACTACTCCGGCCACTACTACTACTACTACTACTGCTGCTGCTACTTCTATTACTGTTGTTGTTTCTTATTACTTCTACTACTACCACTACGACTACTACTTCTACTGCTTCTACTACTACTTCTGCTGTTGCTACTAATACTACTACGACCTACTGCTACTGCTACTGCTACTGCTACTACTACTACTACTTCTATTACTTCTACTACTACTACTACTACTACTACTACTACTACTACTACTACTACTACTACTACTAGTACTACCACGAATACTACTACTAGCACTACTACTACTACTACTACTACTACTACGACTATAACTACTACTACTATAACTACTACTACTACTACTACTACTACTACTACTACGACGGCGATGGCGACGACGACGACAACCACGACGGCGACGGCGACGACGACGACGGCGGTGGCGGCGATGATGATGATGGTAATGTCTGCTGCTGATGATGAGATTTCGGATGCTGCTGCTGATCATGATGATGCTGCAGCTGATGGTGATGCTGCTGATGCTGATGATGCTGCTGATGAGCTTCATGATGATGATGCGGATGACGATGATGGCGTCGCTTGTTAATTTAATGGTGTTGTCGATGGTGATGATCATAATGGTAATGATGCTTATGATAACGGCTGCTGATATTGGCGATGGTCATGATTATGCGGATGACAATGGTGATATCGGTGCTGATGATGGTGATGAGGATGATGGTGACGATGATGATGATGATGATGATGTTGTTGTTGTTGATAATGCTGCTGCTGCTGATAATGCTGATGATGCTGATGATGCTGATGGTGGTGATCATGATGAGGATGATAATGATGATGTTGTCGATCATGACGATACTGATGCTGCTTGTGCCGATGCCGGTGATGTCGCTGATGCTGACGATCATGATGGTGGCGATGTTGGTGATTATGCTGATGAGAACAACGATTACGGTGACGATGCTGATTATGTTGCCACGGGTGGTACGGAAAAGCATGCGCATGATGAGGTCGATGATCATGCTGATGCTTGTGCTGTGGCTGCTGCTGCTGTTGCTGCTGGTGCTCCTGCCGATGCTGCTGCTGATGATGATGATGACGATTCTGCTGATGATGCCGACGATGATGATGACGACGACGATGATGGTTGTGGTGATGATGACGGCGACGATGATGATGGTGATGATGGTGATGACCATGATGCTGATGATGTTAACGATGACGGTGACCACAACAAGGACGACCTCGGCAAAGACGATAATGACGATGATGATGACTATGCTGACATCGAGGATGCTGCTGATGATTGTGACCGATGATGACGAGGAGTGATGATGAGCAGGAGGTGGAGGACCACGGAGGGAGGATGGATGTTGAAGAATTGAGTGAGGAGGATAGTTGTGAAGCAAGTCTCGAAGCGATGAGCGTAATGGACTTCTGGGGATGGTGAACACCACATTATGATGGCGATGATGATGGCGATGATGCTACTGGTGATGCTGATGACGATGTTGATGATGCTGATCATGGTGATGATGATGCTGATGGTGATGATGATGACGATGCTGTGAATGATGATGCTAATGATGATGATGCTGATGATGATGATGCTGATGATGATGGTGATGGAGGTGGTGGTGGTGATGATGATGGTGACGATGCTGACGATGATGATGCTGCCGATGATGATGACGATGATGATGCCGACGACGACGATGATGATGGTGATCATGATGCTGATGATGTTGACGATGCTGATGATACTAATAATGATGATGATGACGACGATGACGATGATGATGATGATGCCGATGTTGATACTGATGATGCTGTTGATGATGATGATGATGCTGATGATGATGATGATGATGATGCTGATGATGATGATGATGATGATGCTGATGATGCTGCTGCTGCTGATGATGATGATGATGACGGTGATGAACAGGAGGATGAGGATGAGGATGATAGTGATGATGTTGTCGATCATGACGATGCTGATGCTGCTTGTGCCGATGCCGGGGATGTTGCTGATGCTGACGATCATGATGGTGGCCATGTTGGTGATTTTGCTGATGATAACAAAGATCACGCTTACTGCTGCTGCTGATGATGGTGATGACGACTATTAGTGATGACGAATATGAGTATGATGGTGATGACGCTTATGAGTGATGACGAATCTGATTATGATGGTGATGACGACTATGGATGGGGAGGATGTGGAAGAGGAGGAGGAGGACCAGGAGGAGGAAGAGAAGGAGGATACGCATGATCAGGGTGAGCGTCCAGAGGGTGATGAGCAGATGGAAGGTGAGATGGATGCTGTTCCCATTCGGCCGGGGCTCCCGCCGCCGACGCAGGCGGAGCTGGCTGCAGCACGACCTGCGGCTCGCAGCTCCTCCTGAGCCGAGCCCCCCCCCCTCTTGTTCTCCTCCGCCCCTCCTGCTCTCCATCGAAGACGCCCTTGGCGAATCACCGCCGCCCCCTGCCTTCTGGGATCGCCCGCGTGGCCGAGCGACGTGGCCGAGCGCCGTCGCGATCTGCGCCACAAAAAGCGCTGCCCCTGCCCGACGCGCGGGCTGCTCAGAAGCGGAACGCAGCAGGGCGAAAACCAGCCCTCTCCACCAGGGGCCAGGGCGGCCACGAGCCACCAGGCTTCAGTCGGGCACGTCCCTCTACAGGAGGAGTATTTCAAAGATGTTAGAAAAGTAGCCTGGGGACGATTTTGGGAGCATTTTTGGCTTATTTTGAACATGTTGTGCGTATTTCTAAAATCTGCCGTTCAAAATCCGCCTGTAGGGAACATGCGCGACTTCACACCAGGCTCACAAGGTGGCCCCGCCCATCTCGACGGTCAACTGGGGCCCGACTGCTTCGATCGCCTCGATGATCCATGGGCGGGCCTGCTCGACGACCAAGGCGACGAGGAGCAAGACCCTCTCGGGTCAGGCGCAGCCCGGAACGAAGACGCAGGAGACGGTGCTCCCCCCTCGGAACGTCACGGCAGAGACAGGCGCAGCGACCACCACGAGCATCACGAAGCATGCCAACCGAGACCAGCCGCGGTGAACAGGGCCTGGCCGCCACCACCAGTCTCCCTCTGCACCAGGCCGCCTCCTCCTCCCACCTGGGTTCGGGGAGCAGCGAACGCATAGTGACCGACGACGGAACGGGCCTCTGTGGGACGGGGGCCCAGCGAACAGATTGAAGGTACAGTGTGGGCGCGCATCGAACAACCAAATGCTTTTCGTCAGGGTATCCTGGATTTCTTAGTCCTCGCGCTGCGCGGTGACTTCCCGCAGCCGTTGAAGGAGCTGCTGCGTTCATGCTGCTCCAGGTTGCCTCTCAGGTGCACCTCGCGCGCGGGTTCTGTGAGATAGTGCGTGTGTCACGTGTGTATATGCACCACTCGCTGCCGTTTGACCTCTAGGGCCCCCTTTTTTGCCATTGCGCTAGAACGCATCATAATCACACTGGTAGCAGAGCAACCACACGATCCCCGTATCGTACCACTGCGCACACGTCTCGCCAAGGAGTGTCGCACTGCCTCTCTTTACTTTCTGTACTGGCAGTTTCCATCGCCTTGCGCCATGGCACTTTCTTGTCTTCGCTATCGGCCGAGCGCCGACGCGCTGACGCGGTCCGATACGCAGAGTGGCTCCTACATCTACGACGGCACTGACAACTTTTCACGAGTGGGAATTCCGCACAGAGATGCGCATGAGTGTCGCCTTGGCCTCAGTGGATCAAGAGACGGGTGCACCACAGCAACACGTGATCACCGCGGCTGTCAACAAGGTTGCAGAAGGTTTCAAAGGTGACGCATTCGACATTGCCATGGATATCGGCAAGGACGTGCTTTTGACTCCGAATGGGGTCGATCAGCTGGTGCTGGCGATCCGTACTTCACTCTTCCCCATAGAGGCGCAGGAAGCGAATGTCCTGTTCCAGGTGGGGCAGAGACCATATGGACCGCTGTCTCGGCAGCGCGGTGAGTCTATGGTCTCGTGCATCTCCCGAAGGAAGCGTTGGGGGAAGTTTGTCTCCAAGTTATTATAGCCGAAGATCTTGATGAGCGACGATGTGCTTGGCTCCCCTCTCTAGGACCATGCAAGCCTCTCGCCTTCGGAGAACCTGATGGTGTTGGCATCCACAGGAAATGTGACAACCTTCGACAACATCGAGGGCGTCTTGACCCTCCAGCACGGCCGCATGCACCCGCCGAACAAGCAAGGGCTAGTCTGGTAAAGGCTCCAGCTCTCCGGCGTGGACGCAGCCCAGACCCAGCTACCAGCGCAAGAGCAAGGGCAAGGGTAAGGTGCGCTTCTCCAGGCCGCAGCGCGCCTGCTACACTGCTGATGAAGGATGGTGCGAGCAGGGGGGGCATTCCCCTGAGGAGCTGAGTCCCTGCAAATACTACGTCCGGCTATGCGCCAGAGCACGGTTGGGGCGACATGGCCTAGGGCTACTACGCCGGCGAACGCGTCTGCGTCGACGAGGAATCGCATGCCCACTGGGCTCTCGTCCACGATGGCAGCGAGCTCGATGTCGAGGTGGTTGACGGGGCGGTCAAGGCCGGGTACGCGGAGTAAGACGCTTCTGACGCGATCCAAGAGGACCTGGTCGCCAACCTTGGCGCCAAAGGAAGGGGCAAGGGCAGTGGGAAGAGCGGGGGCAAAGGTTGCCAGGGCACGCCCTGGTCGCCCATGGGAGGCGGCAAGGGAGGGCCTTCCCTGGAAGATCGCAGGAAGCGTCTCCAGGAGATCAAGGAACGCTCGAGATGCAAGACCTGCCACGACGCGGGCCACTGGTCCGGGGGCCCTGAATGCTAGGGCAAGCCCAGGGCGGCAATGGTAGCGTGCAGTCTAGACACTGGCGAGCGCTGATGTGTTCATAAGGTGATTTGTTTTTGCATTTTTTGTTGGGGGGGGGGGGGGCGGGGGCCCGTGAAGGGGCATGGTCCTGTACTTCGCGGAGCGATTCTGTGACGGGGCAGACCGCGAGCCCTTTCGCAGGCCCGTCGGGGCGCATTCTCGGCGCGATGGTTCAGGGCGGGCGCGCAGTTGCGCGGCGGCGCAGAGGCTCTCGCTCAAGACATTTCAATTCTGTGGCGAGGGCGATGGCGAACGAGAGTTCGCGTCCGTCAACTCTGTCGCTGTATCATCATCAACCCCTCGTCATATCATTAGGAGCAAAGAGGGGCCGATGAGGGTGGATCCTGGTGTTTCTCGTTTCTGCTCTTCTTTCTCTCCTCGCGTCGTGCGTCGCAGGGCGCGCTTGCGCGCGGGGGGGGATTGTGGCGGGCTGTGTAGCTTGCAGCGCAACCACGTTGAGAGTCATGTCCGTGTGAGTTGCATGGGAATGGGCGAAGCCGCTCCGATTCAGGGGCCTCCAGAGCTCCAGGGGAAGAGTCTTCGGACCTCCTGCAGAGGCCGAGGGGGGTGCTCTTGGGTTCATGGCTGTTCGCTCAACCGAATCCTACTCCATGGCTAGCGTTTCTGATGGGGAGTTTGAGGATGGGGAATTTGTTTCGGATCCTATCTCTGTTCCTGCTCAGGATGCTTTGTTTGCTTCGGGTCAGCGCGAATGGCTCGGCTATGGTCGTGTTCTGAGGTGTGCTCCAGATCATGTGGATTGGGGTCGCAAGGCGAAGAAGCCAAGTGAGGGCCTGTTCTCAGGATGGGTCGATGGCGCAACTTCGCTCGGGAGGGGGGGGGGGGGGGGGGGGGCGGGCAGTTTGTGAGAGCTTCTGGGCCGAAAGTTTCCAGGTGGCAAAGTTTTGCCTTCTTCGAGCTATTCTTCTGGCCTGAACATGAAACCTCCAGATCCCCCGTTGCCTCGTCCATGTTCTCGAGGTTGTAAGAATATCTCGGGAGTCGGTCCTAGTGCTCGTTTCATTGTTTGCACCTGCAAGGCTTGTGGGCGCAAGACCAAGATGGAGAGGTGCACGGCGCTGCGCTCTCCGGGCGAGTGTCTGCGCGATCTCGTGGACAATCGCGGCGGTGCTCCAGATTTTGTCTGTGCGCATTGTTGTCGTTGCCTGACGCATGTCGATGCGCGGCCCAGAAAGCTAGCAGAAGACAGGAAAGCATCAGCTAAGAAAGTTGAACGCTCCAGCAACGTCCAAGCAGAAGCAATCGAGAAGGATATCGAGGATGATCGCAGTATCACCTCCATAGATCTAAAGGTTGCACTGAAGGTTTTCACTGAACGTGCTGTTGAGATTTTTGGTGGTGCGGGTGGCATTAGCACGGGTGAACTAACCTTTTTGCTCCGCGACTGACTGTGTCGCAGAGGTCGACGGTCTTGTGGGTTTTATGGCTCCAGCGCAGAACGTTCCGACCAAAGTTCCGGCTCTTTCTAGGCTTCGTGCGGTTGACGTCTTCAAGGGCGACGGTGTTTGGGTTATTCCAGACGAGAGTTGTAATTTTTGGTGTCGCGGTGAAGCATGGGCTCTGAACGCAGTGGATAAATTCGAGAAGTTGGGTGTCTATCCTAAATCGGTTCACAGACAGCGTAAGACGTGCAGCGGCATGGGAGGACAGGCAGGGAGTGAGAAAACAGGTAAGAAGAGTTTTCCATGTCGTATCGTTGCTTGTCGTGGCGCCATGAGTGGGTGTCTCGAGTCGCGTCGGTTGAAAGATTCGGACCGTGTTCCTCTCTTGCTGTCTCTTCCTGCATGGGCTTCGCTCGGTCTCGTGAAGGATCTTACTGATGGTCGCGCTCTCTTGAGTCCAGAATGTGAGGTCGAAATATGTCGTTGTGCTCGTTCAGGTCTTCTCACCATTCGTCTTGATCTGTTTGACCCAGAGCGCCCTCTCAGTCCATTCGTCCGCGGCGCATTGCGTATCCGAGCAGTGACCAGCCGCGCTGCGCAGCTCCCTCCGGCCGCGCTGCGCCGCCTGCTGTCGTCGATCACTCCAGTGGCGACGGGATTACGTGTGTGCCTGCGCCCGTTGATCACTCCAGTGACGACGAGGGCGCGCGGGTCGTTGCCATGGCTGCTGGTGCTGGTGCTCGTCCCACACCGCAGGGCTCGAAATTTGCTGTGATCGCGCTGGGCTTGGAGACCTTCGATAACAACTCGAGGTGCTCGAGGTCGACGATACTGGCGGAGCGCATCCGCCGTCGTCGCCGCTCCAGTCATGAGATGACTGCCAGGGGGCGCGACAGCAATGCCCTCATAGATGCGCTCGTTGCTGCAGATGAGAAGATGGCGAACTATGATCGGCATGTTGGTGGACGCCAGGGCTCTGGACGAGCCGGCCCGCACGCGCCATATCGGTCATCGCCCGAATATCTTACGCAATTCAGTTGAGAAAGAACACTCCGTTGGCATCGCTGAGTATGCGGGAAGATCTTTGGCGAAGAACACGTCTTCACAGTCGGTGTGCATTGTTGCCATCTGTCGTTCTGGTCGGCATCGATGTGTCGCTGTCAGCTACGGTGTTAAG